CACTTGCACTCTCCGCTACCTGCGACGTCACTTGCACTCTCGTCACTTGCAATCTTCACTTGCACTCTCCGCTACCTGCGACGTCACTTGCAATCGACACAAATCGTGCGTGTTGCCAATTGAGGCAAGACGCTGTGGTGGTGATTAAACGATTAAAACTAATTTTATACTATAACGTTCAGGGTCCTGCAAGAAAAAGACAAGACCCGCAAATCCGTGGCTACAGAACAGCAGAATATGAACGCAATGCACAAAGTCTCTCGTTAAGCGTTTTCCTCCTGTAGAAAAACACAAGTAATATGGCTGAATGTATTAAGATACATTACGTGCAATTAAAAGAACAAATTTGATATATTGTTATTATTTAATGTACTACAAGGCAAGCAGATGGCAATGAACACAATGCGCAAACTTTCACTTGTCCTCCAGCAAAACGCTTAATGTGGCATAATAATGGACTAAGATGATAAAGACAATTCAGTATTCAGTATTGAGTCTTGTTGTTGGCTCAAAGTATACACAGACCAGCAAAAATGAACGTGCATTATGAAATGCATTAAGTGTTATTAAAAGGATCAACTCCGTACAGGCAAGCAGACGGGCCCAGAACGCAATGCGTTAAGTTGCACGTTAAACATTTTCCTCAAATCATTATAAATAAAACACGTAAAATGGACCAAGACAATGATATAAAAGATCTGTAGACAGTTTATTCTATATGGATAAACGCTTAATGCGAAACTTTGCACGTTGCGTTTATTCTGGGCTCACCTGCTTGCCTGTACATAGCCTATTAGTTATGTATATTTTAATAATGAAGACGAGCATATTGAGTTTTGTCTGTATCATCTTAGTCCATTATGCCACGTTTTGCGGTATGGGAGGAAAATACTATATACATATTCATTATATTAATAAACTGTATATTGAATTTGATATTTTGATAGCATCTTAATACATTACGCCATATTATATAAGCCATATAAGCCAAGACTTTGCGCATTGCATTCATATTCTGCTGTTCTGTGGCCACAGATTTGCGGGTCTTGTCTTTTTCTCCAACAGATGACTTGCAGGACCCTGTACGTTACGGTACTAAATTAGTTTTAATCATTTAATCACCACCACAGCGTCTTGTCTCCATTGGTAACACGCACGATTTGTGTCCATTGCAAGTGACGTCGCAGGTATCGGAGAGTGCAAGTGGCGATTGCAAGTGACTTCATAATTTAGTTTCTTTTGTCTTGTCTTCACCACCTGGCTACTGTTGTAAAATGTTGAGAGATTCAAACAAAAGTAATCAATAAATAGAACAAAATCACACTAGCTTTGACATCTAATGACAAAACCTGATAGGCTTTTTGTGCTGCTAATTGCCAGAAGACCAGAAGAACTTGATACCCTGGTGAGTAAACATTTGATAATCTAACATATAATATCATTTTAATAAACTGTTCTACACATATAATATTAAAGTAATGTTTATTTATAATGAAGCTATAACTGTGAGTTCACTGACATAGTGCTAGAGTTTAGCTCCAACCATAATCAAGCACACCTGATCCAGCTAATCAAGGTCTTCAGGATTACTAGAAACTTCCAAGCAGGTGTGAGTTGGAGCTGGTTGGAGCTAAACTGTGCAGAGCTGCGGCCCTCCAGGAATTGAGTTTGACACCACTGTACTGGTCTTTTTTTCCCCCCTTCAATCAGTGCAAAGAAGTGCAAGTGCTGGCAGTGCATCAGATGGAGAGATTTAAAAGTTCATCAAAAGATGGCTGCTGCTCACTTTGGACCGAGATGGGGGAAGTAAAGAGCGGGCCCGATTCTTCCAAAAGGTATGTTCCAAATGTTAACATTTACCAGAGTTATCATTCATGTTATCAGTCAGATTCAGATTGTCTGAATAATCATACGTGTCATTGTCTGTTCCCCTTTTTGTATCACTTTCTGTCAGTCTGTCCCTCTTTTAGAGTACGCTTACTTGAGGAAGCTCCTGGATTTTATTCGATTTTTTTCAAATAAATTCTAATCACTCCTACTGTCATTTTTATCTTTTGGGCGGGGAAGCACATATGGATGTTATGGGGTCGGTGGGGATGCCATGAAAAGAAATGGTGTAAAGGCCAAACCCTTAATCTTTGTAAAGGTGACATATTTAGTTGACATGCATAAGTACATGTAGACTTAACAAGGACACTGTAACGTATGTATTTATATGTATTTAAAATGTTTAGTTGGAAGTAGACTTGGCCGGACTTGGGCCAGTGTAGGCTATTTGGGCCAATTCTGGGGCATCATTTATCCCATGTCCATGCCGAGTCTGGCAGCCGCAGCCGGGCCGAGTTATTTCATCTGGCCTGCCGGATCTGGGCCATTAGCGTGCCAAACCGTTTTGGCTACCTGGGACTTTTATCTTGAAGCGATTTTTGGTTTACACCGTATAAAATGTTCGTACTACCTGACAGATATCATTGAAACGGGTATCTTGAGAAACTGAACTAGACTCTGACAGAAGCGAAGTCCGATTCGTAAACAAGTCGTTTTTTTGATCTCTTCGATGATTCGATCGAACCGATGCACAAGTCTAAAAATACGTTCACGAATCAAACTGGATATCCGAGCGTGAGTAGAACAGAGTAGGTCTCTTTTGAACATTTCCAAATCGTAATAAAGCTAAAGGCGGATTATAATTATATTACATCTAAATTAGTTTTTATGAGCTAAATAATACTTACGCTTGGCTGGATATATAGCTTACACTATATTCATTGATTGTTTCATTGATTCAATGAACCTGTTATTTGAAGTGAAACTTGTGCTGCCTTTTAATTTATTTTGTTAAAGGATGCAATATTTTTTGTTGAGATGTAATAGTTTATTGTATTACTACTTAGATTTTTATTTATTTTTTTTTATCTCCAATTGAATTGATCTTATTTTGGTAATTGTCATTCCTATATGTAGGGCAGGCTACTATATTAAGCCTGTATTTTGCATTTATTTGTTTGTTTATTTACCCCAAATAAAAAAAGAACAAACAAATGTATATGTAAGACAAAAATATAATAAAAAATAATAATATTATAAAATCAATTATTATATAATAAAAATTATATTTTATCTAAATGCCAGTTTGTTTTATGCCAGATCTTCAGGTAGCCTAGTTATGTTTTCTGAGCATAAAAATTAAAATGTCAATGCACTTATCATACAAAATTATTTAATTCCATGTGTGTTGTATTTTTGTATTTAACAACTTAAATTGTTTTGTATGATTCATTGTAAATTGCAAAATCATTCATTGATTAATGAATTCTTGATTACAACATGGGGTTTGTAATACATTTTGCACTAGAATAGCAGTGCATTTAACATTCTATCACTTCATTCAACATTTAAAGCCTTGTTTAACATATAGGCAGCTTCTAACACCCAGATGACTCTAAGTGGTTATGCCATCAGCTGAATCTATTCCTGATAGACATTTAATCTTGCCCTCTCAACATACACAGACGTGCTGTTCTTTCCTAGTGGGATTTATACTCTAAACTGCAGATTAGACCTAAAGAGTGCTCTATCAATGTAATCCTTCGTTAAAGTTCTCTTCTCATCTGTCGAGAGAGCCGACTCTAATGGGAAAGAGAAAAGATGTGGTGGAAAAATGACACAGTCCCTCTAGATTTTATTTGGTTTACAGCAACGTTTCACATCGGAGCTTCATGACACAGTAAGCAGAGCTTATTTCAGATATGTAAGGAGCTTTGAAGAGCATGCAGGCACACTACAGATTGATGGGCCATGTCTTACATTCTCAGAGTCACATGGTTCTTGAGCTAAGCTGAAGATCTGCAGTTCTGAGGCAGATAAATACTAGTTAACCTCTGAGGGCAGAAGTGTCAACCGCAGAGGTGGGGGAGACCCTTGCTTGACCCTTAGAGAAGCACCTGTGTCATAATAAACTGTGATGGCAGATCCAGCTGAAAGCTCATGGGGTTTCTGAAAAGGTGTCTTGTATCCTGAGAGTCAAAACAACATCACAGGCTGTTGCTGTGGACATTCCCAACTGTTATTTAGGAATGAGATTGATGCTTATACAGTGGACCCAAAAAGTATTTGGACATCTATGCATGAATGTCACCATATTAGGTAACAAAATATCAAACCAATGGCATTTATTTTAAATAACGATAGCACAAACATACTTTTGATAGGTTTTAAATGCTAGCACAATAAATATACCGTAAAAAAAACAGAATTTGAGAGGTACTGACTTCATATGTCCACTAAAACTGAGACGAGATTTAGCATTTATCTATGCAATGGTTCTCAAGCTAAGAAGCTGGAACGACTCTTTGAAAAGTTATTATATGCAGCAAAAACACTTTATCATAACTAACATCAGTCATTTAATTCATTGTTTTGAATTAATTCATTTAATGTTGTTCAGTGATGATTAAACGCTTAAATAAAATGCTTTTGTTATTCATTATGCTGATTCTGTATTTACAGCTGATCTACAATACATTACTGTCTTCACTTGTTTTGATTGGACAAACAGAGGTCAACACAGACTAAACAGAGCCGCCCCTCCTTCTTCTTCTCTCCCACTCATTCACAGCTGTTATGATGATTAAACGCTTAAATAAAATGCTTATTTGTTATTCATTATGCTGATTCTGTATTTACAGCTGATCTACAATACATTACTGTCTTCACTTGTTTTGACTGGACAAACAGAGGTCAACACAGACTAAACAGAGCCGCCCCTCCTTCTTCTTCTCTCCCACTCATTCACAGCTGTTATTTTCTATTATTCCATCTACTTTTTCAACACAACACAAATAAAATATAAAGAAATGATTCACATACAAACACAAAAGGGGACCAAAATCAACATGAGTTATTACCAAAACAATATTAATTATTAATGGGTTTGTACAAATAAATATAGAAATTAATGAATGAATAAATAATTAAATATACAGTATGCTTATATTTTTGTCAATATTTGTATCAGTTTTTATCATTACTGCCTGCATTAAACAAATTGTGACAAATTAATGACAAAAAAATAAATATTCTGTATATTCATGTCTATATATATATATATATATATATATATTGACAGAATTTCAGGAATGTTTATATTTTTTGTTATTATTGCTGCCATTATATATAATGGGCATAGACATAATGTATATTTGTGTGTTTAAATTTGATCAAGTATGACATACAATAATGTCTTAGAATGGTTAAATCATTTTGAGAAAAAGTATCCTAGACCTTCTCATTCCTTCATTCATAAAGGATTAGTTCACTTCCAGAATAAAATTTTTTTCAATATTTTGATTTTTTTTGCACACTCAGATTCCAGATATTCAAATAGTTGTAACAAAAGTTGTAAGCCAAATATTCTAACAAACCATACATCAATGGAAAGCTTATTTATTCAGCTTTCAGATGATGTATAAATCTCAATTTCGAAAAATTGACACTTAAGACTGGTTTTGTGGTCCAGGGTCACATATAGTGGACTTCAATGGGGATCAAGGTCCGAATTTCAGTTTCAATGCAGCTTCAAAGGGCTCCACACAATCCTAGCAAAGGAATAAAGGTCTTGTCTAGTGAAACGATTTGTCATTTTCTAAAAAAAATAAATAAAATGTATATACTTTTAAACACAAATGCTCGTCTTGCATTAGCTCTGCAATGCGCGTCTACGATTTCACGCATTACGTAATCACGTTGGAAAGGCCACCCGCGGTTAGCTCTTTGTCTGTGTACTCCGGTTCAAAAAGGTATAGGGTAGGGTGAAAAACTCCATCTCATTTTCTCCTCCAACTTCAAAATCGTCCGACATCGTTGTTATACCTTTTTTTGTAAAGGGCGTTTGGCTTTCTTTGCACGTTCGCTTTGTAAACACTGGGTCCGTACTTCCGCTTACGTCCTTCCAACGTGACTACTTAATGTGTGAAGTCGAGTTAGTGCAAGACGAGCATTTGTGGTTAAAAAGTACATCAAATTTTATTTTTTTAGAAAATGACCGATCGTTTTGCTAGACAAGACCCTTATTCCTCAGCTGGGATCATGTAGAGCCCTTTGAAGCTGCATTGAAAGTGCAATTTGGACCTTCAACCCATTGGTCCCCATTGAAGTCCACTACATGGAGAAAAATCCTGCAAATGTTTTCCTCAAAAACCTTAATTTCTTTTCGACTGAAGAAAGAAATCCATGTCTTGGATGACATGGGGGTGAGTAAATTATCAGGAAAGTTTTATTCTGGAAGTGAACTAATCCTTTAAGTAGACCTACACTATGTTCTCACCTTTCTGGTTCATATCCTGCCTGTATCCGGGTGGCACTGTAGCGCTGGGCAGCTGTCTCGTGCCCATGTGTATTATGGGTAAACGGGCCATAAAAGTGAAGATCTGAGTCTCGTAATGACATCGGTGGCCTGACCGGCTCCATGTCCCCCACAATACGCCGGTAATCAATCTGGTAGCTGTCCCTATCCCCATCCACATAGCGGTCATACCCGTGCCCGTCCATATCAGCGAAATCCAGTGGGTCGTCCTCCACCGTGGCTCTGTTTGAGCCCGACTCACCCTTCCAAAAAACACCTGATTGTTGTCTCGCCCCCCTCACCTGAGACCACTTCACAGTCACAGCCGTTTGCTCATACACCAGGTTATACTTTGGATTCAAACTCTTCCACAAAGTTTAAAAGAATACAAAATCAAAAAATAATAAGAGCTGGATATGCGAGTCCTCAGTTAGATTTGTATCCAATTTGCATAAGCTATTAGCATCTTCCAAACCACAGGCCGAAGTTGTAGAGTTGTGCGAGTGCAAAGCTAAAGTTGAGATTTTGGTCAGCAGCTGACAATCCCAAGTTTCAAATGTCCAAGATGAGAAGCTTCCAAGATCTGGTTGGATGTCTTTTTCGTAGTCCCACTGATCAACCTGAAAGAAAAAGCAGATCACAGAACCTCAGACAGGACAGTACAGTAGTTAACCGGATGGCAGACAAGCAGAAATTGAATGAGCCTGGTTCTCTCTCTCCCTGTTTCACTTCAGTTAAGCTCTGTTTCTGACAGAAGCGCGTCACTTTCACAAAGAGGATTGCAGCATTAAGTGTGCATGTGTGTTTGTGTGTGTGCTTTAACAGGAGGAGGAACTTGTGGTGCTTGCATGGTGTTCACTAATGGAGCGAAGGACAATGGATGGGTTTTACATGCCCCCACCTCTTGTTTCTCCAAAGGTAACATTGCAGTGCACATTTGTGAGTTTGTGTGTCTATGAAAAGCATGCATTTGTGTCAATAAAAATGTGTTCAGTTTATTTGGGTGTCACATTCATCTTTTTTGCGTGTGCATACATGCATACACCTCTGTCACTATGTGTATGCACAGCCTAGAAACGGCTTCCTCATAAACAAAGTCAAATCCCAGGGTGCACTGATGGAGTGTGCTCAACCCTGGAGAGGCTTCAGGTTGGAGCAACAGAAAACGGCTCTTGACGGGCTAATTACACGCAGACGCTCTATAAGAAGTGCTCTGGCAAAACTGTGGCTGAACAAACATTGACCCTTGTTTGTGTGCACAGGCAAATGAGTGTCCTTCCTTACATCAGACACTTGTGTTGACCTATTTATATTGAGGAAAAGGCAATTAGCTTATGATTGAAGGTGTGTGGTTTATATGTCTGTGTGCTGTGGGCAGTGGCGGCTCGTCGGAGGAGGCAGGGGAGGCACAGCTTCCCCAAAATTTTGAGGTGACTTTGGGAGGAGGACGATTTAATGTTAATAAAATTCACAGTTCATTTCAGTTCATGTCTCAGAATGTGTATTTTTTGTTTGTAATTTCACAGCTGTAATACCATAACATGTTACTGAAGTTGGAAAGTGCCGCTTTTCTATCGCGAATGTGCCGAATCTGCTGATGTAATTACAACCACTAATGATAGAGAAGGAGTAGGGGGAGGCCGGGGGAGAGCTGAGCTCTCGTGCCTCCGTTGATAAAAAAAATTTGCCAATCACCATCGAGTGTTCACTTTCAGCGCTGAGGAGTGTTGAGAAAAGAAACCTCGTAGAGGAGGCTAGCCTCCCTTCTGATATCAACCAATCATCATAGAGACGTAAATTATGTGATATTAGTTTGATATCAACCAATCATCATAGAGACGTAAATTATGTGATATTAGTTTGAACGTCTCTCGCTGCGCTGATAATGTACCAAGTACTTATGATGAGTAGCGATATTGAATATTTGATCTAGATTTACCAAGCTGTCATTCAAACAGTATATATACAAATTGAAGAAAAAGGGAACACACGCCTAACTGGATATAGGCTACAGCAGTCGCGGCTTAATTAAATGGCACAACAGGCAGCTCTCTTTTAACACCGACTTTTAAGAAGGGATGGATGTTTGCTTCAAGTGATAGGCCAGGTAAGTGAAATTATATTATCTTGCTGTATGTGTGTCGTTTTCTTTACGTTTTCTGATTAAAAGCAACCAAAAAGCCATTTTAAAGTGGTTAAGCAAATAATAATAATAATAATCGGCAGGGATCCCAGACCAATACAATTAGTGTGCCTCCTCTATTTTAAAACCCACGAGCCGCCACTGGTTGTGGGAAGGGTTTGGAAGAGGAAAAAGGGGTTATGGGTACACAAATAGGTGTTGTAGGATGTTATGTTGTCTACAGGTCAGCTGGTATTCAAATCCCCTTGACGTATGTACGTTTGACCCTGCGTTCCATTCGGAAGGGCTCATCCCTATGCCCTAATCCCTTCAAAGTGTTTCCCCTTCGGAGTGAGAGCTTCGAAGGGTTGAAGGGTGTAGGGAACCAAACAACTGTTTCTTGTGCCCTTCAAAAGTGCCCTTCTGCGTCATCATCACGTGCCCACACGGAGGCGCCGTCATCATGCAAAGAATCTGCGCAAAGGATCATGGGAGCCCGAAGTGTCCATCAGTTGTACCCTTCGAAATCCTTCATTCCGAAGGGCCCTTTGAAGGGGCCAGTTTTGAGCACTTCGGTTTGGAACGACCCTTCAATATGGCGGCCATGATTGTTTTCACTCCGAAGTGCCCTTCGGAGGGCGATATATCCCGTTTGGAATGCACCGTGAGTCTCCCCATCACTAAGCAGGAAGAATTAACAGACTTAAAGGAAGGCAATTGTTCCTACACTTGCACCATCTGGCAAACCTCCAGCAGAACAGGATGGGGTGTGTATTCATGGAAACTGATGTACTGTGTATTCAGCAAACGCCCTGTTGGGGCGTATAATTGCACACATACTGTACATTTTGTCATAAAAAAAAAAACAATATAATTTATGATTGTTATGCACACTGGAAAAAAACTATTTATTTTAATCATTATTGCTGCAGTTTATTTTACACTGTGTGTGTGTGTGTGTGTGTGTGTGAAGTAAACTTGCAGTCTCTCAGCAGCATTGGGAAGCTGCAGTTAGTGCTTATAAGAGGCTTTCCTACTGCAATCCCCTGCAACTGTCACAAGCACTCTGTCACTTACAGATGAGACCTTTCATCAGAACCTTAGCAACTTTGTCTCCTTGTTGATGTTAATGAGAGTGTTTGGTTTGTGAGGGCCAAACATCCTCACTAATATAATGAAGTATTATAAAAAATAAAAAAAAACTTGTGAGGACATTTTATTTGTCCTAACTACTTAAAAATGCTCATAAATTGGCCAAATCATGTGAATATTTAAATCAAATTATATGTACAGTGCAGGTTTCTACGAGGGTTAGGCTTAGGTAAACATATGGAAGCAGATGACAAGTCAATCACATGTCAAGCTCCATCATGACAAAAAAACATCATAAATGTATCATGAATTACATAGTGAGAACTTAAATTTGAGTCTGTTCCTCACACAAAACTACTGTATAATTTCAGAAGACTTGTAATATAGTGCACAAGTCAATTTTAGAATACATTTATGATGTTTTTTTTTTGTTGTCATTTTGAAAGTCCTCGTTGACTTTCACTATATGGAAAGTGGCCAGAATATTCTTTAAAAATTATGCTTTTGTGTACCACAGAAGAAAAACACTCAAACATGGAATGGATGGACTGGGATGGATGATAATAATACACATAAATATTAATAATAATTATAGTATATCCATCCATTCCATGTTTGAGTGTTTAGGGCCGAGGGCCGAATTCTGCCAACAATATCAAGCCAAGGGCCACTGACCTATATATATAGAAGCGGAGTCCAGCCCAGGGTCGTCACATGTGGTTGCCGCAAGCCCGCCGGACGCTCCTTCGTCGAATCCGCCGGCCGCGCCGTTCTCCCCAAATATTCAGATGTGTGCAGCACATTTTATGGAGGACTGTTTACTGATCCTGGGAGAGTTACGTTAGACTAAAATGCCGGCAGTTCTGACTCACGTAAGTATGTTTTCATTTAAAGGATTTGCCACTGATGATTCAAACGCGAGTTTTGGGCAGTGTGGATTAACGTTAGCACTTGTTGTTTGTCATTTCTCCGATCACACATGCAGACATGGTTTTATGTTTACGCCGCTCGATGCAATGCAACGCGTAAACAGACAGTATAAGTCATTATAATCCGTATTTATGTCCCCACTGGATGCAACAAATGCCTCGTTTGTAATGGGTTTTAATGTTTATGTCTCGTCGCTCCGGCCGGACACGGTATGTGAGGGGCGTAACATTTCCGTCTCACGCTTGAGGTATTCGGCCAATCACAACGCACTGGATAGCTGGCCAATCAGAGCACACCTCGCTTTTCAGATCGATGAGCTTTGTAAAAATCGACACGTTTCAGAAAGGCGGGGCATAGAGGAGAAACAATAATGTACAGTATGTGGAAAATAATGTGTTTTTTTTTACCTTAAACCGCATAAACACATTTCATTACACCAAATACACAAAATAATGTTATTTTTAGCAACATCATATGACCCCTTTAAAGATTGGAATGGAAATAATTCTGGAAATTACAGTGCTGTATTTTGTCATAGTACATCAAACTCTTTTCCAGTAACCTTTTTACTGCTTGGTTGTCAGGGCCAGTATATGCAAATATGTATTCCTTTCTTTACTGCCTAGCTTTGTGCGGATGAAGAGATTTGCCTGTTCACTGTTTATGTGTGGTATTACTGTGTGATATTTGATTTATCCAACTCCTGCAGAGGGCACTGTTGATTTGTTTTAAAATATTGCTTCCAGTTTGTGTGACCTCTAGAGCAGTACTCAATTCCAGTCCCGGGGACCCCCTGCTCTGCACATTTTGCTTGTCTCCCTTATTTAACACATCTGATTCAGATCATCAGCTCGTAAGGAGAGAGATCCATGAACTGAACCGAGGGCGTCAGATAAAAGAGACATACAAAATGTGGAGAGCAGTGGTACCCCAGGACTGGAATTGAGAACCACTGGTCTAGATCAAATTCCAATAAGTTTTGCCAGCAAAATGTGTCTGAACTCTGCCCATCTATATTGAAAGACTATCCCCCGGGTTCACTTCACAGACAAGGCTTAAGCCTAGTCTCAGACTAAAATGTAAGTCTGAGCTGTTTCAACTGAAAGAAACTTGCACTGGTTGATTTTAAAAATATATTAATGCCTTTGTTTTGTTTCAAGATGCATACCAGTAATGTTTTTTTTCTAAGGCACATTTATAAAAAATACTTAAATGTCCTTATTGAACTATTGCCTAATCCTGGCTTAGTCTAAGCCCTGTCTATGAAACCAGGCCTATCAGTTTGTTATACAATTCTTGTATTACAAGGCAATAAGTCTGATTAGAGATTAAATACTGTAGTTAATCATTAAAAAAATCATGTGTTTTGAGGACAAGGTCATGCAGTATTTGCTGTTTAAGATGAGTTTAATTGAATGCAGGAACATTCTGCGCTTCACTTTGCACAGATGGAGTTTTGAAAAGCATGTCCTTCAGCAGCCACTCCAAATATAAGCACTTTGAGATGCAATTCAACTTTACTGTGTGATATTATTATTGAATTCTTTGTTGAGTACTGCATGCTTTATTAAATCAATAGGGCACAGAAAGCAAATCACTCTAGCTCAGGGTTCTTTCTCTCCT